TTTTTTTTCTACTATAAGAGCTATTGTCTGAAAATTACTCCTGTAATCGTGAATCACTAAAAAATTCTTGCCTAGATAGATAGAGCTGTAACAGCCGTGCATGTTCATGACGACGCAACGTACAACACGTCTGGTTATACAGTTGATGATGCTTCCAAAAACTGTTTGGCTGGCAATCTCCGTGTCACGTATTCGGAACCTTCTACGCAGTTCTATATTTCTTGCACGTAAGGACTCGTAGCCGGTCTGCTGCTTATCTTGACGTCGACATCTTCAAATATAGCTGTACATTTTACTGAGCCTATTTTTTAGACGAGATATGTGCAGCTGTTTTCCTTTACGTCTTGTTAAGCTCTCGATAATCAAATTTATAATACTAGAACTCGTCACTTCAGATAGCGCTCACTCGCAGTAAAATGCTTGAGAGCACCAAAAGGCACATCAAACATTTACGATGGGTAAAACATAATACAGACATCAGAACTTCGATAAGCAAAAATATACGAATGGCATTGTGGTGAGGCATTTGCTTTGATGATACGATAACATATCTATACATACCAGTCACAAACTAACTACTTATATGCCAGAATCTCAAAGAGCAATTTTGATTCGAACGATAGCTATATATGTTGCTACGCAAAAATAACGGTAAATGTAGGTATTCGGCATATAAAAACCGACTTTACGCCCCCCAGATAGAAACTACAATATAGTACAACCGAAGGTGTTACATAGAAATGCGCGGATGGAAGGCGCTTAACCGGGACCAATTCTTAACTTGAGACCATTTTTATGCCAAGTTTCAAGATAACGGAAACCTCAGCGAAATGGCAGCAGTGACATAGTAACTAAGGCTCCTGTCTTTTCAATATTATCATTTCGATCGAATTGAATGCTACACTTAGTCGTACGGTTGGTACGAAAATATATCCATACGTAATTTGTTGTTCCAGTGAAGCGGTATAGTTTTTAGCATTGACGCCGACCATTGCGATCGAGTCGCGAATTTATATATATCAGGTATATAATATATATATATATATATATATACAAGTAGAATCAAAGAAGCTTCATTAATACCGTAAGAGCCTACGTAGCGGCGCCGAGACCGTATTTTTATAGGTAACAGCGTTGTTGGCTTATAATGAACGTACAGTTAAGCTTCCTATACACGTAGTTTTTGTGCCTGTGAAGATTGAAAATTTCAATCTTCCACACATCCGTGGTGTGTTTCGTAATGAGAGATAGGCAGAAATACAGGTTGATGTATATATATATAGGAAACGATTTGCTATTACATAATATCAACTAGTAGGCTAGCTCACGTGACACAGAGAGAGTGATGATGAGAATCATTGTTAAAGAAATTATGACTACAATCAAAAGCACTATAGCGACACCAATTTGAAGAAAAGAAGCTCAGGAGTGTTCACTTTTTTATATTTCTATCGTTTTTCTATCTCTACTACGTGATGCTCTTATCTGCGAGCCGTTCTCTGAATTGCTAAGGTCTTTTTGAAACGTTGTACTGTTGACTTGAATGCACAGCAAAAGCGACCCGAACCCTGGGCAAAGCTGTGCAACTCTGTGAACTTGGACGTAAGCTGATTAGGAGCTCCATAGAGTAGCCACTTCCGTTGGTTCCGAGTGTTGCGTGAGTTTGGAGGAATCTGAGTGCTTTGCATGACACGCTCGTTCATTTAGCGAGCTTCCCTTTCGTATATAAACACTCATTATTTGTGTCATAATCCTTGCGGTAAATTCTTTTCACATCATTTCAATAACTTTCACTAGTTACTTCAACTTTACTGAGAGAGGACAGGCCTAGCATTTGCTACCACCCATCGCAAGCTGTGAAAGTGTGTGTATGAGCATATTGTGTACTTACATTTTATATGAACGTACATGTCTAAAAATTCGCGACCCATCGCTTTGCTTGCTTTCTAGATACAAGAAAAATGGGCTGGACTGAGATGTTCATGGTTAATGCGTATACATAATGGTTTATATTAACGTACCTGCTGAGCATTGGACAGACGCGCAAATCCTTTCTGTCCTTGATTAATCATCATGCCTGAGGCAGAATTCAGTCGCATCTCTCCTCTGCTTCTCCAGGCCTCATTTCATAAGGCCATCAGTATAGCAACAATTTGTCATGGAGCGGTTAAGATCAAGCAGGGGTGTAGCGGCGTAGATCGTTGCATACAAATATCGGGCTACGTATTTCCGTTCTACGAAAACCTACTCAACCGAATCTCGAAATGAGCTTGATTAATTAACCCTTTTACATATAGTGTCTCTCAGTTTTAATTTGTCGCTGAAATATTTCGCATCATGGCCTTGTACCGGGAATGATTCGTGGATTACGAAAAGCCAAAGCATCTAGCTCTGTATTGCTCGTACAAAGATGACTATTTACCCGATCAGATATGTCTAACGTTTTCAAAGCAGTGACCACACTAAAAAAAGTAACTCTAGAACGGACCTCCTATTTATAAAGTTGCTAACAGTACTCGAAGCTTTTCCATTCTACGAAGTTACTATCCGGTAACATTGGTCTCGTTACCATATTGGCGTATGTATACCAATATTAGATCTATAAACGATTTTCCATCTGTTTAATACATTGAATGCTATTGAAAATTCTGATAGAATGTCAATGAAAGCCAATAGCGAGAATTACGCGTAGGTCAATGCGGTGCAGTGAAAGCAATGACTGGTTAATGTGATTTGAAAGTTCTAATTTTCTAGTGATCAAAAGAATTGGCACACTACCTTAATACCAAACGTTTAACATCCTAAGCTGCTGTCAGTGACTGATTTGTCGTAAGTTGCAAGTTAATCTCTTTTTTCGAGAACGTGGATACTTTCATTTGATCGTTTACGTAAAAGTAAATTGCTCGGCTCGCCCATAATCATGACTAATTCATTATGCTTTCGGAAACGTTTACTTTCTCTAAATACTTTCCATCTAAGTTTTATGTACACACGTACGAAAATGACATTTATAGTCGGATCGTATAAGTTCTAACTAACGTATGCATTGTTATTAGTGCGCTGCAAAAGTCAGATAAGTTAGTTACTGTCCTCTTATTGTCTTTCATTACTACACAATAAGACTTCTAAATTTGTTTTACATTCAATATTTTGAAACTATACTATACCAAAGATTATAGTTTCAGAAAAGCTAAATCGCGAACAAAGGTAAGTTCTCACGCTTCGATCGAATGTATCCGATAAAACGAACGCTAGCGGGTGACGATGTGCGTGCGGTAACTTTTATATTGAATTTGATGAAATACCTCGTATCGAGGTCCTCGTTATAGCCTGTCGAAAGTAGAAAAGCTCGCAGCGTACGACAGGGTGTCCATTGGCTGCTACTCGCTTGCGTCCGACAGGCCATCATTTAGCCAGAAGCGCGAAAGGCTCTAAGCCGACGTTGAGTAAGCGGCGAACAGGGGAACAAATTTAAGTATGCTAACAAATTGCTGTTAGCAGGGGATCTTCGTGGAAGGTAGGAATCATTCATTTAATACGGACAAGTGAATAAGTAGAGATGGGCATTGTTATACCAAGATTTCTGCTGACACACATTCTGTCGTAGAAGTAATAGCGAGGAGTAAATAAGAACTTCCCTTAACACGGACATCCCAAAAGTGATATACTCAATATTTAAACTGTTTCCCTTGCACTCCTTCATGTTCAAATACATATGCGCCCTTTCTCTTTAGCTATGCTGCCAATCACACAGGTAAAAACGGCCGCTTAAAGTATGTAAGACTAGCACATAGGTTTGAAAACAGGCACTTAGGTTATCACACGTCGAAAACGAGTACGCCGCGTTCGGAACACTGACGCCTCTTGCAGGCCAATTCTATAACCATCCTGATTCTGAAGTCAGATCAGACCAACATCTGGAAGCATTGTAATTAGTCACAAGATATAAAATAAAAATGATATGCAAATTCCAATAATCCAAAGGACGTGTCATCAAAATCCTAAACTATTGTACATGTGCCTGTATCCATAAAAGAATACCAACATACGACTGTAATATATGGCAGGCCTGAACAATTTTCTCATAGATCTAACAAGTTATTTTTGAAAATTTATGTCCTTTTGAAATAGCTTTTTAGATATACTATATAGCCGTCTTTCGTAGAGGCCAAGCAGACTATATTCCACGCCGTCTCTGTCAGCTAGAAAGCTACACTTCTGAACATACGGTGGGCTTCTAGTTTACTTCTAAGCGAAAAACATCCGTAAGAAAAAGCCCAATGAATCTATGGAAAATAGACCATTTTGGTAATGTGCAATAGTTCCTAAAAAAAAAATTAAAGGATTCTCAGAGATATGTTTAGTTCGTTCTCTAATTCGGGATATAAACCGCTAATAGGCTCCTCGCAGATATTCTCTTTGCAAGTATGCAAACTGCTCTTTTACAGCAAAAGTAACCAAGTCGACGTTCTCGTGTTAGGTTTGATAGATTCTCGAAGAGGAATATAAAGCTTAGAAATGAACTCACTGTATGGGTTCATTTCTAAGCTGCTTGAAGACAACATATGCTTGTTCCAGAAGATGCTTATATCCTAAGGCAGTCAAGATTGCATTAAGTGGCTAATATATAATATAATAAAATAATAATAATAATAAAGTACACCGTCTTGCTATGAGACCCCAGCTACCGACCCGTATACAGCAGTATGTACTCTAACGAACCGAACAAAATAAATTTACGAACGATAAGAGAAAACATCTGAACAAGATCGGGGAGGTGTGATAACCACATTTAATGTCATCGTTAAACGTACCGGGCAATTGTAAATTCGCACGTACGCAGAAATACCATGTAACTTGACCAGGAGTTAAGTTAGGATATGGCGCAGTATTATAAACAAAGTATTTATTGGACCGTTCTTTTTTTTTGACACTATAGCGATTGGTCCCAATTGCAAAAAAAAACACTTGCTACGAAGCAAGGTTCTGCCTCACCGCGCGTTCGGAAGCCTTAATGAACATTGCAAATCTTACAGCAGGATAGAATACCCGCGCACAGTCACTGTGGTAAAAATCTTCCAAACGGGTGGGTGGGATGCTGCTGTCCGTTATCCAGATTTGACGTCAATAGAACTGTTCCTGTGGGGATACCTTAAGGACGCGGGGAGGAAAAGCGGCGATACTGAAAGATGCAAGGCTGTAGCAGCAAAGTGAAATGTTTGTCGAAGCCCGTGAATCAACAGTCTGCAATAACGGTAACCATTTTTAATATCTGTGATGGAAGAAAATGTTTGACATTTTATGTAGATGCAATCATCATTTCAATTGTAATGTTAAAATTGAATTGAATTGTTATAATTGAAACCGTGTATACAGTTTTAGGACACATTGTGCATATTTACTTGTCCGGAACTACTTAGGAAGCCGAAGAAATTAGTTAACATTTATGTATGTCAATGTGCCCTTCTTTTTTTTTTTATCTATAAATATTCCTGCAAGCCGAAGTGTCAGAATAAAATATTATGATTACAAAATAAAAATTGGACTACGAACCACAAATAATAAACACATGCTGTTTCATACGTCTGTGAGCTTGCGCTCGAATCTGTTCATCACTGATAGGTAAGTTTTTTCCTGCTCTGTACGACGCCGATCCGTCACGTAATATTTTTGCGGTACACGCTACAGAGTGATCGATGTCTCCCTGGTGGGTCACTCTGTGACTGCTCCAAACAATTTGCTAATAACAGTAGTCTCTGAAGTACTCCCGAAGTACTGACGTCATTTATTGTTCGAATCATTAATGACTTAGTTACAATTTTCTAACGGAACTCACTTGAAGCACATCGTCCATGATCTGTTTTACTCAAAAACTTCAGTGATTACAGCGCTCCTCTCCGCTTAAAACCAATACGTGCAGTTATTTCTTGTTACAGTGTAACTAGCACCAGTCGCTCATCTTCGAGAACCAAATTCAGCGTTAATTTTCAGCACTGAAAAATACTTGCGCTTCTGAACATGCTCGGTAACATTTAGCTTCTACAATATGTGATCCCGGTCAGAGATCTGACGTCTTCGTTAAGTTGTGTTGCACAAAAACACGTCTCCATTATTAACTTGTGTCTGCGAATATTTTAGAAAAACCGAAACGATTTTCCGAATCTATTCCCCGCCATATTGCTTATCACTAAACATTACCGCATCTGTAGTTTTTAAAAGAAAGACAATTTGTTTAATCGAGAAAGTGGGTCTAGTCGTTGCGACTTTACTTGCGCTAGCATGATCGTTACTCACTTTGGTGATACATAAATCTATCGAAAAACTTGGCTTAATTTTTGAATTTGTACTTTTTTTTTTTATAATTAAAATAATCTTATATTACGTTACAGATGATAAAGGTCTGTCATCGTTCAGGCTGATGCAGGGATACACAAATGCTTAACAAAACTTATATGAAGCAGTTGACTCACACAAGAAAAACGAGTCCTATTAATGTACATTTAGATTCGCTAGTCACTCAGGTCTATGGCAGTAATTTAGCTAAGGCAACAATGTCTATTAGAGCTCTAGATTTACTTTACTTTTCTGTCAACGATAGCACCTCTGGGAAATCGTACATTGACTCTATCTAAATTACACTATCTTTATGAATAAGATAGCATGAATGTAGAAGTCAACACACAATACTTAATCAAACTACGGAACAGCTCGAAGCTTCGACGAGGGCTATCTGTGGTCGGTAAACTAATCATTCTCAGCAAAGTGAGCAGTATGTACGAAGCTCGAACATGCGTCCTTTCTGTGAAGGCCAAAATAACTTTTCTCATAGCCGACTCCTAGCTGTCCCTTTTATGGCAGACCTTTGTACCGTTGTCCAGTACGGCCTTGAGAAGCTGTCAGGGCAAAGAATTCAAGAGAAGTAACGTGGATGGACGATGCAAGAGAAAGGGTTACAACTATCTTCATCGCCTTTTCTGCTGCTCAGGTGTTTAGTGGGAAATCAAAACCTGAAAAGGGCCTCAACTGCCTTCCACTTGCTAGTACGTAAACATGTTACGATTGCATCCCAGCGGAGGGTTCGCCTAAAACCTATAATATTCACGGCAACATCGATTAAAATCAGTAGTACTAGGATAAAAGCTAAATCAGATAAGGCAAGTCTAGCATTTTGCTCGGCATTAAAACGGGGCCGGTACCGTTAGGCCGGCGTAATTTCCATGATGGCTATATGGCACATGCATCTGATAGTCTATAATTGCAAAATTAACTCGCTGTTCACATATGATACAAATACTACCGACGCTTCGACGTGTCTAAACATCCAGTAAACTGTTGGGTTATATCAAAGACATTTGCGGCGATGAAGCTATATCTTCACGTGTAGGCATCCTCGCTCGTACTGTGCCCTAGCCATTTTCGGAAAAAAAGGTCATAAAAAAGATGTAATGAGCAGTAGTAATCATGATACCATGCGGCCACCATAGGCTTTCGTTCATATAGTTGATTGTAATTGGGGATGTCGCATAAGGCGATAATTACTGATGATCACGAGGTGATGGTACGGCTTCCATACTACCGCTAATGAACAATGATAGTACTTGATCGTAAATGAGGCTCTAGGAGCCCGCAGGCAGGTCGCTGACCATAAAACGTGGCAACTTCAGTACGGACTCGTTTTTTTTTTTACTGCATTTAACAAAAACATACCGCCTGCAATAGAAGCACTTGAAGTGAATGCTCACAGAACGGGATTGGCTATCTGTTTGATTAAATATCTATTTGAAGAATCATAAGTTAGTTTCCCGAAGCAATACATGCATTTGGTTCATTCATAACGTTACATTACAGCGGTGGACACCCTTGACCAGAATCTGTGAACTTTAAACTTCGTATATATTTATACCAAGACGTACACAACGAGCCGGTCGCATCCTTTCCGAAAATGAATATGCCTCAAACACGAGAACACGCGTGGCCATAGATTTGTGTGTAAAATATTTATCAGCCTACACAGGGTGTAAATACTTGTAGATCTATGAATAGTTGAATGAAACCATCGCAAAGCTGCACTTAGCGACGCACTGCTTTCTTTTTGATACATGCAAGCTGGATTTCGATATTGAATTGAAAATAGCTGCCTTTGGCACCGTAACACTGAAAGAAAACGAAACATTTAAGTAATATTTTAAGGTAATTATTCTGTTATTTCAATCATACCTGTCCTTTAGAATATGTGTTGTTGGGGTTTAAATCAGCGACCCCCTGGCTTACTGTTGTTTTTACAGCAGGAATTTTATATTACTAGATAAATGGCTATAACAAGTATCCGCGATTGCTGCGTTAAAATGCATCAATTCGCCACTCTACGTAATATCCATACTATTCAATTCTAATGAACTGCATCAGATCTGTCGTGCCCTACATGACCTGCACCCATGCCTCTTGCAGAGTTGAACACAACAATTTGTTAGGCATAGGTAGCACAAGTGGCTTCTTTAATCACCGCTAGCCTTTTTAGAGGAAATTATTTTCAGTTTCCTCAAGTCTAATTAGGGTAGAGCTGGTATTTTATTGAATTAGTGGTCCCGCTGTACTGCCTTTTGTGCAGACACACAATCCTGTTCCGATTCGACAGAAGTGAACGGCCCAGTCGTTCGAAATTAAATATCAAAAGACAACGTTACAAGAAAAATGAGTCAACTTCTCTGTGGCAGCTAGCTTCTGTAAGTGGTTAGGTCGTGTGAATACACTAACTTTGCCTCATATAAAATCGATTAGAAGACTAGAGTCGGCTCTGAAAAATTATGAGGTTAGTCGAAGGCCAGGCACCGGGAAGGATCTGCAGCATCGGATTATTTTGTGTGAAGAATCATTTCTGTGGGCTACGATATACTTAGGGAAGATAGGCCTAGAGCAATTATTTCCTTCGCCAAACCGATACAGTTATGTTAACCACCATGGTCCATCCAATTGATCAGTTGAAAAACGGCCAAGGATCCTCAGTCCTGACCAAAACTCTGTTGCTAACGGCAAATGTACGTTTCGTGTAGTAATCATATTCTAGACCGGCGGGACTCGCAAACATTATTACTGCACCTCGCTTGTATATGTACCCAGTATTGGGTTCGTCGTTGACCGATGGAAGTGAATATATGCGATGTAAATAACTGGATATCTACAGGTCGGTGAAATCGGATTTCCTACCCTACCCTACCCTACCCTACCCTACCTTGCACCTATTTTTACATAAAACCCAAAGAAACTTTTAAATCTCTAGCCATAGAGCAAATCCTTGCTACATCATCGCCTATCTATGGGCTAAAAGTAAACTGGTTTTAATGAATATAACGATCTAAGACCATTGCTGTTTTATGTAAAGTGTCTGCAGTAACAACGTTTGAAACTCCATGATATATTCGATTGTCTCTTCAAGTAACAAAATCAGTACAAAGCGCATCGGTTCGAACATTGATCCTGCTTGACAACGGCGACTGATGATGCTCTATGCATTGGTTTCGTCAGAGCATTTTAGTCTTGTCTAAGAAACCACTACTATATTAAGCAAGATATATTTGAGGAAGGTCATCTTGTACGCGAATAATACTAGACAATAATACACCATGAACAATACTTTTACTTAGCCAACACTCATCCTGTTTACAGTCACTGCCTAGACGCGGCGAGGAATGTTTGCTTCAATAATCTCTAGACTATCGTGACATTATCCTCTGATGGCCTTATGTCTGGGTCAAGACGGGGATAATAATCTTCAAGGGCTAATGCCAAGGACAGCTTTCTTCAGGACGCCGACAACGCAAGAATGCATCTGTGGATCTTTGACCCGTATCACGTCTACAACTTAGTTTCAACAGAAGCGGCCCCTCTGGATAAACGACAACATAACGTCGATAAGCATAGCTGAATGTTAAACAGATTCTCTCTTTCTTCAATTTTCTCTCCTTTTTGTTACTTTGCGCGTCGTGTTTTCTCGTGTATCAACGGGTAACTCTGATGATGGCGGCTCAAAGCCTCGGAGAAAAGCGTCTTTTATATATATATATATACGCATAAGTCTTCCGAAACAACGGTCATATTGTGAGAGCACTTCTGTTATATTTATTCAGTTTAGATAACGTATCTTACAATACTGGGCGATACAGATCATATAATCAGCGAAAGTTCATTAGCTGGAACCCTCACAACTGTTTTAAGTGAGCTCTTTATAAATTAAATAGGTCCCTTAATCGTTAGAGTTCGAGCTCGTATTATTGTTTTACAAGACCATCATTTGCGTCAAATTTCGCAAGAAGGAAACACAGGTGCCTGTACCATATTTTATTATTTTCATGCGAAATTCAGACGCTGTTCACTTAAACCTATTTATATGAACCTTACAAATGGTTTTCGTAAAGCCACACAATTATAGTATACTTCTATAAAAAGGCTTATGTCGTAGAGTATCATGAATTGTAGCCGTTGGGTCTGTTTGCAGTGTTGAAATGGAGACAGGTTTGGGTTCAAGCCCGGTGTGGGGATAATTGAACGAATCGAGTAATTTAATCTTGAAAAAAAGAACAGTGTATATGAAATTCAGTTCTCATTTGAAGAAATACACCCGATGCAAGTTGCGTGGAACATCCACGAAATATCCATATCTACTCAAAACGGCGCAAGGAACTATAGTTATGATTAAATTCATTCACACAAACATCTAACAATGTTGTTAGTGACTAATCAATCGACAACTTCCTAACGTTTTCAACTTTTTTTTTTCTAACTTATTTGGCTCTATTTCGTATCGCCAAAGATATCATTTTGAACAAACAAGCTCGGCGTGTTTCCTTCAAGGGGTCCCATTTCTTCCGAATAGATTTCACAGCACTTTGTCACTGCTTGCATGTCTTTCGCCCACAGCCTGAGGTCATGGTGAATAGGCGATATCAGCTTTGCTTCGTTTTCAAAAATATCGTTAGCAATAAGCAATGAGCACAAAGTAAACAACTCATTCTTTTATGTGTCCGTCTTCGAGTAAAGCAATCTCAGCAGGATCATCCGGAGGTCCACTCACTGACGGATATCACTAGTTCCGACTCATGCACATTACAAGTATACTAAATCTGAAAATTTCAATATGTTACGATGCGTCTGATAGCTGTTTGCGATGTTTATTACCTCCGAAGCTATATATACACAGCCATGCAAAATGGCTTGCTGAAAATCAAAAATTTAGACGGACGCAATGGCCAGCCCTGCCTCGAGAGAAGCTAGTGAAGAAGCGTCCATTACAAAGCAAATGACATTGGGCGGACGGACTAAATGTATCAGTACCTTTAGAATAGTTCGGCACGAGAAACTGAAACGGTATACATTTTCTGCAGCTCTACTGCAGGTACAGGAATTGTTTGTCTTCATGAGGAATCCCTCGAAATGCAGTACAAACATAAGCCGATTACATTGCAAATAATCACGTTTCAACACAAAAGTGCCTAATTTTTTAATTTGGGTAGAGGTTGAATTAAGGAGCTTCACTCACAATAGAACGCCTGTCGTAAACTTTAAAGTTAACTTCCGAGCTCAATTACTATTTACAGTATTAATGCTATATGTCGCATGCATATGTATTATAAGTGTAGGAGTCTTGGAAGTTTTCGAATTGCTGGAAATCATCTTTTTTTTTTTTTTTTTGTCAATAGTATCTCGAGTTAAGTTCACTCTCATAAAACTCGTCTTCAATTGAGAAAATAAACACACTATCATGCGGGTATTGCTGTTAACGTCTCTTAATTTTACGGTCTGCACACTGGCGCTCACCGCCACCATCGAAGTCTTGTTAAATACTCGATTTCGAACACAGGATCACACCGTTCAGGCAACTCCTGTGCTTGAAATCTTCCAAGTGATCAAACTATACAGAAAATATATAACAAAACATTTTATAGAACACGTCGTAATTAGGTTACTAGAACTGGATTGCCTGGTGTCTGGTTTTAATTTAGCACAAAGATGATATCTGAAGCTGTATCGGTACTGTGGTATCATCTGCGCGCTATTTTCTATGCTTTACTGTTGTCTCGAACTAGGCATTTTCAGCGGGGACATTAAACAGTGCGGCCCTTGAGAGGGCACACTGCTGATGCGAAGATGTTGCGAAGAGCTGTACACGAGAGTAGACGAAGCTTCTTAGCAAATACCACGTCGTAGGAAGCAATAGCTAAATTGCAAACTTATTGCCACGTATGTCGAGATTAAAACAAAATCATTTAAAGCGTTGCGAAGGCCAAAAAATAGATAACCGAATATTTAATGTTTAAATGTAGAATATAGTAGAATTGTCCACTAGCTAACAGCACATATTCTTATACAGACCACATGTGAAAAAAACACTACAGTTTTGTCCTACTTGAAACCACTTCTAAGGCCTTTATTGAAAAAAAATTTTGGTGAGGCTTAACCGGACCACGTTGATGAAACTAGACGGTCCTAGCTACTCATCAAAACAGCGTGCACAACGGTCCAGTGGCTGTACAATGGTGTGAGTACAACTGAAGCAAGCGCCGCTATATTCTATAATTAGCGACCATTGAACAGCCGGCTTGCAGGCACCTACGTGGCCTTGGGTCATTGTGGTCTCATTTAACGAATAAAAGGTACTTGTTCCCAAAGTGAACGAAGTTATCTTTACAATTATAGAACATAATATAGCGGAAAATTCTGACTTATTGGTAATTAGCTTGTGCAATTACCTTATCTGAGCTCATGGTGTCAACGTTCAGAAATCTCATATCGAACTTGCTCATCGGCCTTCATCAGCTGCTGAACTACAAGTCCCACCACAACTCGTCAGCTGTAGAAGGCAGAGTTGTGGCCTGTGATACGCTATATCTCCTTGGCCGACCGCTGACATATGTAAATAAATAAAGCTAGCCAGGGTTGCTGATCTAATACAACAGCCGAAGTTTTTCTCGACCTATTACAGAAAAATGCAAACAGGCCTTGACAGCGTCGTTTCAATACTTAGCTCTCCCACTGGTTATCCCTCTTTGCAGCTTTTCGATTTCGAACTTTGAATCAAACTAAGGCCTCGTTGCTTAAAGGAGCCTTGGTATCGCATCAGAGAACCCGTAAGAGGCTTGTCTACCTCCTGGCGCCGATGCCACCGTTTCTCGGGGACCTCCGTCGTCGTTTCAACCCATTGGCAACCCCGGCACTCCAAAAAAGCCTAGTGAAAAGGGATTGAAAATTCGCGGAATTCAATTTTCAGTTATGTCAAATAAGGGCTATAACGTATAAGAAAAGACCTGAACGGTCTAACGCACAGGTAGTGACGCGCTGTCTAATACACGGTTTTCACCATCGTCGATTCAGTGCAGAGGAGTTCCACGGATCTTTTGTTTGTACTAGACTCACAAATATTACGAACCGTACTCACAAATTCAATCGTCTATCGGGCGGTCTAGCTGAGTAAGTAATCAAGCAATAGTAATCGTATGCTGTATAACGAACAACGCAATTACTGACGCGTAATAATCCTGTGAACCCTACATTGACCGTTCCAGAAATAGTCTCAGTCCAGCTAGCCATGTGTATAGCATATAAACGTCAGTATGTAAAATCTTTGTAGATGTATTAAATGTATCTAAAGCGACTGCCATTAGAAAATTAATTTCGGTCGGACGTCATACACAATGTACTTCTGGTCGCATAAAATGGCAAACACAAAATAAGAAAACTTCTATTGTAGGCCCGGTGCTTACATAAATGGTAGAATTTTAATTCGAGAGTGATGACACTACTGAATCTGTGTATGTCATATTTATTGCATTATTAAGTTATTTTTCAGAAATTGCATGAAAACTGCCCATGAAGTAGATTTTCAATTTCAGAAAAAGAGAATGATGTTAATTTAGGTAGGGCTTTATTTAGCGAGGAAAGGCTGAATAGTAACTGAGTTTCCGTCAAATTTTAGAAGCGTAGCTTTGCTTTTCGCCGTTAACGGCAGCTGAATGTGTCCCTATTGCCACAAACAATCCGCGAAAATCTTCCCCAATTTGAATGCAAATCCTCGTAGGTCATTGTAGTTATTGGTTAGGTTCCATAAAACTACTGTAGAGCAGGTATCACGGAGGCCAATAGTTCGAATCATTTAGTTTCGACTGAAATATGGCTGGCAAGAGTAGAATGTTTTCACGTTACCCCGTAGTAATAGCACCAGCGGTGATCGTATCTAAAGTGTTTTTTTGAAACCCCTATTACTTGTTTAGATTACATTCGTATTTTTTGGAGGCTTCCAGAAAATATGGCGAACCACTTCTAGAATGAATTCGACTTGACTATAGAATGAAATCCGTCGGGACAAGTCAACCTTCTCGTTTGATCAATGCTGCGTTGATATCTACGCTATCTCTCAGACATTGAGGATGACTACCCCTCAAAAAAACGTTTCTGTTTTTGAGCAAGAAAATGCATAGCCGGGCTCCCTGTTGTCGAAAAAAAACTACCTAGACATCGTTGGAAAACAAGATTTCGCTAGCTTCAGCATCAGGACGCATCGTTTTCTGTTGGGTGTATCAGTTAAGATTCGGGGTCAAACGTATTTTAGGGTAAGGCATGACTGCACGACAGAAGCTAATTTTTCTTCTTTTCTGAAATACGTACGTTATTGCGAGTGACACTGTGTGCGCATTAGCTTAACTAGCGATTCTTATATGAGCATCAGCGCTATCGGTGTGTACATACCCAGGACACACCTGTTTCGAATTCGTACGTCAAATTCAGTCGGTATAAGAGTTTTGACTAAACGGCCTTGACGAAAATAGAGGTCTAAGGACGGGCCTTGGAAGGAGAGCAACATGCGATACGCTTTACTGAGACTAGAGCCCTTATACGAGCTGCGCCTACCCTCACGTTGGCG